AAAAAAAAACTTAAAAAAAAATAAAATAAAATAAAAGACAACAGGGGCGGGATGTCCTGGTTGCTCATCTGTTTGGTTAATCTCATGTGCTTTACAGTTAATTCCTCTGAAAAAATAACCTCGATCCTTGTAACTATAATGTACGCTCCCTTCGTCTTAACCCCACAGTCCCCTACTCTCAAACCAAAATGAGGTCATCCAATTCAAAGAGAGCACAAACTTGGGGACGGGTGCCCAAAGGGCAAGCCTGAAGGTTTGCTTTTATTTAATCTCTCCGAGTCTGACACGCCACTGGGTATTCATACTCAATGCTTGAAAAGCCCAGATCCCACACACCTGCTCTGGAAGCTCTTCCAAATTACCTTTAAACTTCAAGGCGTGTCTCACCTTCTTCAAGATGATAAAAGATGGGGGGCAAGGAAAACAAGCCAATCAACCAAGCAGGTGAAAAAAGCAGACATGAACAGGCTGAGGGTTAATGACAGCAACATAAAATAAGCCAGAGGCAAAGTATCCCCCAAACCAGAGAAGCCTTGGGGCATGCACAGCTGGGAGAGAGCAAGCCAGAGAGGGGGCTCGGCACTACCTCACCTGCCACTTGTCCAATGGGGGGAGCGCTACCCCATTGGAGCGGTTAAGGTCGGACACCAGCACCTTCAGGATGTCCTGAATCTACAGGCGGCGAGAAGGGAGAAACAAGGGCAAGGGGAGAGAGAAAGTGGCTTAGAGAGAGGTGAGAGAGTCAGGGAAGGAGGAAGAGGAGAGAGGGGAACAAATCCATGGCCCAGGCCGCCTTCTCAAACGGCCACCAGCTGCCTTGCTGGAGGCAGAAATCAGCGTACACAGAGGGAAAAGTCCCCTGAACAAGACAGAGAATGCAGTCACCGGCCCGATGCAGCGGTTTTCTTAAGACACTCATGAGACCCGCTTCTCAGGCCCAGGATGCTGGGGACGAATTTGACAGGAATGTCATCTCCATTTTAAAAACTAGACTTCCGAGGAAGGGTTCGCTTGGACAAGGGGCTCCAGCTAGAAGTCTGAAAGACACTGATCTGCTCCAACAATATCATCTTACAGATGAGCCCACTGGGCCCAGGGGAGGAAGTGATTTTCCTGAGGTCGCCCAGCAAGCTGGTGGCAAAGATGGACTCAAAATTCAATGTCACCTAACCCAAGTGCTTGGGGCTCTCCTCGCTACACCCTGGGCCTCTTCTGTTGCTTTCTAAGGGACATTGTGATGGCACATGGTTGCTCTCACTGCCTGGCTTCCCCTTTGAGGCTGGGGATGAGCAAAGTCACCAGATCAGTACGTCAAATACCACTACCCTTTACTGAATGTTTACCCTGCACCAGGCCCTGTGCCAGGCCTGCATGGCTCAGTCAGTTAAATGTCCAATTCTTGATTTCTTTCGGCTCAAGTCACATTTCAGGGTCCTGGCACGGAGCTCTATGTCAGGCTCTGTGCTCAGCCAGGAGTCTGCTTGAGGATTTTCTCTCTCTCCCTCTCCCTTTGCCCCCACACCCCCAGCTCTCTCTTTAATAAATATATCTTAAAAAAAAAAAAAAAAATCAACCATCTCATTCCAGTGTCACAAGTGTAAATAACATTACCCCAATTTTACTGATGTGGAAATATATCCCTAGCAGGGACATTATCCCCAGCAAAGGGAGAGGTAGGATTCAAACCTGTACCTGACACTTCCTTCACAATCTTAACCATCACCCTCTACTGCCCCTTGAGCACCCTGGTCCCAGGAGCCTGGCCAGCCAATACTTACCTCCTCGGGAGAGTGACAACCATCAGAAGTGGTTGTCTCTGGACTACTCCCATTTTTGATCTTCCTTTTCTTCTTCGCTCCTGCAGGAATACCAGGGCTGTTCTTTTGCTGATATTCCCTCAACTGCAGAAAGGAAAAGCAGCAGGATTCATGAGAACTATAATCCCCTGTATTCACATCCAACTTTGTAGTTTACCATATACTCCTATATTCGCCATCTGATTTAATACCACCAACAGCCCTACAAAGTGTTGTATTTCTCAGCAACTGCAGACATGGAATGATAACATGGCTTTAAAAAAAAAAGGAGGAGGGCAATAATGGAATTTAAACTTAGTCTTCTGACTCCGAGTTCTGGGGTTATGCCATGAAATCAGCAAGTGCCAAGAGGCAAAACCAGAGGTGGAGATGGAAAAGTAAACATCTGAGTAATCAGACTTTAGAGTCCTTTCCTACACATCTGTTAAAGTTGCACACTGGTACTTATCAAACTTTTACATCAACGTATCCTGATGGCAGAAGGCAATGAAGGCACACACCTAGTGAATGTGGGAATGTAACAGAATGAGGACAACCCAACCACCATTTCAGAGAGAATTCTATTATAATCTTACAAATCTATGCAAACGCCCTTCCTAGGTACATTAATATAAAATGACTTTTCTCTGTCAAGAGAATCAAGCACAACTGATGCTTCAGTCCCATATTATTCTGTGGCACTTAGGACACTCCATGTTGAGATGATGATTTGGAGAAGATTCCCACCTATGAAGTTCAGGTTCCAGAGATCTGTTCCACAGAGGATAAGCAGATCTTACTCTAAAGACCACCGATTGAGGGGGACCCTCGTCCCAGAATCATGGGGAATTAAAATGTGAGGTAGAGAATTCAGATTTAAACTGTGAAAGAAAGACAGTAGAAACCTAGGAGGAAACCATACTAAAAAAAACATTCTCCCCAGCTGTCACCAAGGTGTTATCAACGTTCTGTGATCACTGCTGAAGTCAATGTCTAAGGATGGGGTTCAATCTTAGAGTAAGGGCTCCTGAAACCTCTTCCACCCCAGGTCCCATAGTCCCCAGTCCCCTTGAAGCTGGAAATTTGTGCCGCGATCAGAGAAACCGGAAAGGGTATGAAAACACTGGGAGACTGAGTAGTAAGATCAAACACCGGGCTCGTGGCGCTAATGACAGTTCCGAGGGGGATTGTGACGTAACTACATTCCACTCCTCCCTACCGACGCCCGAGTCGCCGCTCCGCGGTGGGGGAGGGGAAAGCAGGGCCGGGACCGAGGTCCTCGGAGACCGGGACCGGGCAGGGGAGCCCAGGTCCTCCGGTTCTGGGTGGCTGATGGCGAGGGCCAAGCCCGAAGCGAGGATCCCGGGGGTCACCGGCCCAAAGTCACCCGGGGGCGACGGGCGAGGGCGGGGGCTGGGCTGCCGGGGGGCGGGACTGGCTGAGAAGACTTTGGGGGGGGGGCGCCAAGGGGCGCCGAGGGGCTCGCCCTGTGTGCCTCAGGGACAGCACAGACTCTGGCCACTGCCCGGCCTTCGGAGGGGCCTTTGGCTGGGTCAGGGAGCCGCGACCCGGCACGTTTTACCTTCTTCTTGGCCGCAGCCAGTTTGCTCTCTCGGGTTTCTTCCGACATCCCGGGACGGGGAGGGGGAAGGGGGGGCCACATCATCAAGATCCCGGCAACCCTCGCGGAACTGCTTCCGGCAGTCACCGCGCCGACGTGCGACTGAGCCAGGAAAGGAGGAACCCGGGAGTTTCTAGGCGCAGCTGGGTGGGCGTGGCCTCAATACCCCAATCCTACTGGTCAGTGAGGAAGATGAAAGGAAAAGGGGCGTGGCCAGGCCGCCGCGGGCCTCAAGGGACAGGTGGAGTCACAATGAGAGCGGAGCGCGCAGCCGCTGTCCCCACCCACCTCGGGGGGGCGGGGCCTGAGCTCGCAGGGTGCGCGCGCACCTCGCTTTTTTGACCGTTCGCGGTCTCCGTCATAAGATTCCGAATACCTCGCGGACCTGAGGGGCCGCTCTCCCGCCCTCGCCCTGGACCCTCCTGCACTGCATACTCCCCCGAGGCGGGGACCCCGGACCCCAGGGCTCCGGAGGTGGGCGAGAAGCGGAGAACAGGCCGAAAGGGCATCCCTTCACAGCCCCTTTCCTGACTCCCTGTATCCCTGCCCCAGACTCTCTCGTCCCAGAGATCACTTCCGTCTACCCCCATCTAGCCCTCCACACACTCCCCCCTCTCAGAGTCTCCCCTTCCTTGAGCATCCCTACCCCGATCCCGGACCATAGCTGCCCCTTCCCAACTCCTAACCTCCCCACACCCCTTTCCTCCCAGGGCGGACCCTAGGTTCAATCAGCCTTTTTCCCTCGTATTCCTCTCCAGGACTCAACCAGGACTTTCCAAAAGTTGCCGCGGGGCCTTCCAATCCCCTGTGAGTATGCCTGTGCACCGCCCCCCCCCCCCCCTTTCTGGCCCTCCACCGGGGAAGTCAGTGCTGCTCCCAGTTCTCCTCCCCACCCCAGCCCTCTTCAAGCCTTCCCCCAGCAGACCTTGTTCTGCTGAGAAGCTCCAGGTCATTTCTCAGTGCTTCCCCTTCTTTTCCTCCCTGCCCACCAAGCTTCAAAGAAGCGGCAGCGTCCTGGCCTTTGCCGGTGCTACCCCAGGCTCTCCCAGTGGGCTCTGTCTCTCTTCCTTCCCGACAGCACCACAAGTGGTTGGTTGTGAAAACACCACGATCCCCTCCCCCACCTGTCCCACCCCACACAGAAACCACCCTCATTCCCTCGGACGTGTGTGCTCTCTCCTGCCTTGGCCATTTCGATATACTGTCCCCTTCTGGAATACTTTCCTTCCAGCTCTTTAGCAAGGTGATGCCTGCGCATCCTTTAGAGCTGAGAGGTCCCTCAGAGAAGCTTCACCCCCACTTCTGACTCAGTCCAGTTGCTCATTTGGACACTCCCTTCACACACTGTACTTCACCTTAAAAGCACTTTTCAGGCTTGTCGTTAGTTGATTGATTATTTGTCATTCACCCATTCATCTGACACATTTTATTTAGTGCCTACCACGTGCCAGGCACTGTTGGGGACACAGTGAACAAAACACCGGCCCTGCGCTCGTGGGGTTTAAACTCCAGTGGCGTGAGGCCAGCAATGAACAGAATATTATTAATGAAATGTATATGTCAGGTGGTGATGGATGTTATAAAATATCAGGACAAAAGAAGAGTGAGCCATTGAGGAGTGACCATTTTAGGCGGGGTGGTCAGCGAAGGCCTTCCTGATGAAATGTGAATAGAGCTTTAAATGGAGATATCTGGAGGAAAAACATAATTATTGGGTGTTTTATATAAGTTCCGTGAAGGCAGGCGCCAGGCTTGATGTCTTATCCATTGCTGAATCCCTGGAGCCTTTGCCAGTGCCTAGCAGATAGTGCTTACTCCCTCTCTGTCAACTAACTGATTAAAAGCCTCTGTCCTAAGAGTAGGAACCATGTCTTCCTTGGCTTCGTCTTGTATCATGTGTACACGGTTGACCCAACACACATTTCCTAAAGATTAGCAGTGTACCGGGCACTGGCCTTTGCAACTTTTAGAGGCAGAGAGGGCAAAGATGAACTGCAGCCCCAGGGAAGGGGTTTGTTACCCAATGAAATTATCAGCCCAGCGACATCATAGACTTGAGAGGAGCATCCAAGAAGTAGACGTGAGGCAGGTTATCTGGGGTCAGGTTAGGGGCCAGGATGAGCCCTTTAATTAGGATTGGGTGTGGCTAGGAGTGAAAGAAAACCCCAAATAACGGTGGCCTAAACAGACCTCAGGGTCCCAGGCCTCTATCTTGCTCCACTGCACCTTCAACAAGGTTCTACCTTATCGCCCAAGGTGCTGTTCAGCTCTTTCATTACATCCACATTCTAGCCAGCAGGAAGGAGGAAGGCAGGCCAGAGAAAGGCATACCCTCTCCCTGGAAGGACAGTTCCCAGAACTTGTGTACATGATTTCTGACTAACTTCCACTCACCAGAACTTAGACAGCTACATCTAATTCCAAGGGCAGCTGGGCAATGTAATCTTATTAGGGGGTGGGGGTGTCAGTCACCAAGCAGAAGGGGGGGCGGTGGTTGTTGGGGACAACTTGTAGGTTCTGAATTGTGGATAATGGGTCAGTCTGGCTGATGACTTTATGTGCCACTCAGCGGCCATCTCCCAAGTCTGGCCAGGCTGATGGGGCCAGCGAGGATTCTCTGCACCTCGACATTCAGAAACTGAAGGAGAAGAGGGACCTGCTGGACAAGGAGATCACCCAGTTAATATCTGAGTAAGTCTCACTGGGCTCCTCAGCATGCTTAAGATAACTTTTAACCGGAGGTCCAGTAACTGAAACCCAGCCACACTAGCTTAGCCTAAAACCAGGACCATGCCCTGCCGAGGGATTCAGCATGTCAGCAGCCTCTCTCGGGTAGGGTGTGGTCAGACCTGGGAGGAGCAGGAACTAGGGAGCAGAAAACTGTCCCTAGCAGAGGTTATCACTTGGTCCCTCTCTGCCTCTTCCATCTGCACACCGACTCCATTCTCTCTCTGCAGGTGGGCTCTCCAGGGCCTGGAGGAAGCTGGCTCTTCCACAACTCCTGACTTTCTCACACCTCTTGCTCCAGCCATGTGGCACAGACTGAGCAGCCTTTGAATGTGCATTTCACACGGGAGGGGCTCTGACTAGCCACTCATGTGCCCATCTGTGAATCCCCCTGCTGTGGCCCAGGTCACACAGTACCAGCATGGCTGCGAACCACTCCCTAAGGGCACAGGGAGATTGGCCAGGAGTGAGGGGCTAGGCAGATCCCCTGCCCTACCGTAAGCTTCCTGAGGGCAGGGTCTGTCTTGTCCCTAGTAGGTCCTTAGTGAACATTTGTGTAGTTTTTTTTTTTTTTTAAGATTTTATTTCTTGGGGCGCCTGGGTGGCTCAGTCGTTGGGCGCCTGCCTTCGGCTCAGGTCATGGTCCCAGGGTCCTGGGATCGAGCCCCGCATCGGACTCCCAGCTCCGCGGGAAGCCTGCTTCTCCCTCTCCCACTCCCCCTCCCCCTGCTTGTGTTCCCTCTCTCGCTGTGTCTCTCTCTGTCAAATAAATAAAATCTTTA